GGGCTTGCTATCAGTGCCAAGTTAATAAACTTTAGGGCCTGCTATCAGCCTTGGGCTAGTAATGCCTTGGGGCCTGCTATCAGTGCCAAGCATTAGCCTCAACTCCTTGGCAGGATGTTCCCTTCGCACGTTAGTTGCAGTTGTTGTAGTTGCTGCGACAGTCATTTCCCGCGGCAAGTTCAAATGGCAGAACCGACAATATTAGAGATGGTGGCGCCGACAAAATGCCTTCGCAACTTGGACGCTGCAAGTACTACCTCTGCAACTTAGTTGCTTCGATTTTCTCCCTTTCTCAGCAATTTCAGATGGATACAACACCGATAATACTTAGAATAGCGGCGGTACCAATAATACTTGAAATGGCGGCGCTGAGACAAAGTGTCTTCGTAACATGGGCGCTATAAGTGTCGCCTCTGCAACTTAGTTGCGTTGGCTTTCTCTTTTCCTCAGCAACTTCAGATGACGGAGGAACTGACAATATTGTGAATGGCGGCACTGAGGCAAAGTGCCTTTGCAACTTGGCCGTCGTAAGTGCTATCTCCGCAACTTTACTTAGGCATTTTCCTTTGTGGAGTCTGTTTGGACCCTTGGCGGGTTGGACCTACTTCGGTCCACTGTTGGCTCACTTCCCTTGGGCTTTAGCCTATGCTCCTTTTTCATTCCTGGTCATCTTAGAGGGGTGACCTCAACACTTAGGCCCATACTTGATTTGGGGTTTAATTTCTAATCCCCTACATTTGCCCCCTGTGTGCGTGGGGGAAACATTCCTTGTTTTTAGTGTGTGCATGACGTCAGCAAGTAGCCTAGGGGTTACGTCGGTTAGGTCAGAAGTTGCATCGGTTAGGCTAGGAGTTACGTCGGTTGGGCCAGGAGTTGCGTTGATTTTCTGCGGAGTTATAATGGTTTTGAAAAGGTACCTTTTGACTGACAGTCATAATGGCCTAAGGAAGCGTGTTGGCGCCTTTTCACTGATTTCTCTATAAATAGTGCCTCTTAGGTCCACTGGTCCCCCATTTCCGCCATAACACACTTTATTGCTTCCTTGTCTTCTTCTCTTTCTGGCCCCTACCTTCTAAAGTTTTTTCTATTTCTTTATCCTTCTTCATGGATACTACCAGGTTTCTACCCGACAAGGCTGTCCCATCTAGTTCTAAGTGGAGGAGGGCCCTATACTTTGGGGGCTTCTTGACCCATTTTGGAAGGCCGTTGATTCTTTTGTTCCTGACGCCACTCCTCTAGAAAAGTCTCTACTCCCTTTTGGTGAGGCCTATCTAGATGACGCTGACATGGTGAACCCAGTTTCTGTGCTGCGGTTTTGTGTGGAGCGCGATGATTTTCCTCATTCATCCATTTATTATCGCACTCACTTGGGCCTTTTAGCAGATTGGTCCCTTTGGGTTGATGACATTATCACAGATGATGGTTTCGAGCAACGCTTGAGGGATGTCCGTCTCTTTAACGCCATTTTGATTTCAAGGGAGTTGTCTATGTGCAAGGTACAGACCAATACTGACACAGTTGTTTCTCGCTGGAGCCACGACACTCATACCTTCGTCCTGGCTTGGGGGGAGATAACCCTAATTCTTGAAGATGTTGTTATTCTTCTTCGCCTGAGCACTCGTGAGGATTACCCTTTTGATCCCGCATCCCTGATTACTGCGAACAGACTGTTGTACTACTCTTCAAGGTGCCTTTTGAGAGACACGAAAGTATGGCTTTTGGTACGATCTTAGAACTGGGGAATTGCTTCAAGAGAGGCCCAAGAGGGACAAGAACACCTACTTCTCCTGGCTGAAACATTTTTTCAAGGACATGTAACCGGTTGTGGGTGACATTACCGAAGACAACCGCAAGTCCATAGTTGGGTCGGGCTACCGTAGCAACTTGTACCTGGCCGCCTTTGTTAGTTATTTCATTTTCTTTTTTATTTTTCCTAGCAACCCTGCTGAGAGCATCAATCCCTTGGTGTTCCCTCTCGCTGCCAAACTTTGCAACAGCAATCAAATCCCTTTAGCTCCTCTCTTCTTGGGAAATTTATACTTCCGTCTGGACCTTATTCATTTGAACATGGAGAGATCTATGGGCCGCTACGATGTATGGAGCTTTGCTCATATCTAGTTCCTGACTGCCTTCTTCTACGAGTGGTTTCCTTCCATGGGCCCCGTCCCTGAAGAGCATGAGCTCTTTTTTACCGACGAAGTCCTTGATGCAGAGGGTCGTCATGTCCTAGATGTAGAAGGATGGCCTGTCACAAGACAAGTGCGCCATTCCCTCCCTCGTATCTCCAGGTGGTCTGGTGTTGGCACCAACAGACCTTTCGTGGACTACATTGACCGCATAGAGGAGTGCGTGTTCCGTCTTTTTACCCAGCTTCTTCCAGGCATCTCTATTGTTCCGTTTTATTTTTCTAAGGCTCATCATGTTGATTTTTCTCTTGACAGCGTCCAAGCTAACTCCCTTCTTGTTGCTGCTATGATACACCCTAGGTTTCTGCTTGTATGGAATGAAGAGGGCATGTCCAGCGTCGTCTATCGATTGGATAGAGTCCTTAGACAGTTTGGCATAGATCAGGGCATCCCACATGCCCCCCCGTCTTAAACAGATTTTTATCAGAGCTTCTAGTGGTTTGCTCGTGATTACACTGTTTTACTTGTGGAGGGTTTTGGCCCTATGGAGTTGCCCCCGCTTGGAAGAGAAGGCAGTTTCACCCCTAGCAACAGGTTATTCTGGCACCGCAACCTCAACTCCTTTTTTAATTTTTGCAATAGTGACCTAGTTGTCCTTACAATGGAACCCATTCTGTAACCTGACTTATCCCTTCGTCTCCCCTTTTGTCACGGGAAGCAGACCAGTGTATTTTTTCATTTCAAGCTTTTGTCCTTATCTGTAGTAAAGGAGCCTCATTCGTTTGGGGCAATGTCTGTCTAGCCTCTCCAAATTACTTTCCCCCCAATCGGTACAATAGTGCGCATGACCCGCTCTCGCTTGAGGGCAGTCTAGGAGGCAACAGCATCAGTTGCTCAGGCTCGTGCCTCACCAAGTAGGAAGAGACTCCGGAAGGTATCCATACTTAGAAAATATTCTGCATTCTTTATACTTCTTTGGCTTTTTATCTTTACTTTAGTAATCACATGATCTTTTTTCCTTTTCAGGGCCCATCGGCTATACTACCTTCAGGCCTCGGAGGTTCTTCTACTACCATCGAAATTTCCTCAGATTTAGACGACAACGACAATCTTCCCATTACTTCAAGGGTCACAAGAGTTAGAACCCGCAGAATGGTACTTCCAGACGTTGAAGAAGAACCAAGTGTTAAGGTTAAACCAACTATTGAGGCTGAGCTAGTTGTTGAGGTTACAGATATGGAAAGAGGTTGTGATACCCCTTTTGCTGAAAACGAACAAGTCCCTCCTGTTGTGGAAGTTGCAGCGAGTGGTATAATTGCTAAGGGTGTAGAACCTCCAAACCTTGTTGATTCTGTTCATTCTAACCGTTCCTCCGTCTGCGGAGATGATTTTGTTCCAGAGACTCTGAGAGAGGAGCGTGGCGTAAGAGAGCCACTAGAAGTTGTACCACCCCCTTAGAGAGTTGTATATGGGGGTTCTTCTCAATCCACTAAGTCTCTACTGGTTCCATAGACCCCATTTCCCAATGTTCAAGTTATTGAGGAAGGTGCAGATGTAGCGACTGTTCCTGTTGTGGGCCCCCTAAATTTGGCCCAATTCTCAGAGGTAGTTGTCAATTTGGCCACTCATGGTACCACTGCTGTTGCTGATACTTCTGACCCAGTTGCCTCAGCAACTTCTGAGTAGCTCATTGATTTGTACCCCACTCACTTCCCTGAGGTGCCAACTAATCTTAGGGGATCACGAGACTTTTATGTGGACATGGACACCACTGTTGTGCCAGATCTAAATGTTGATGACTACCTTATGGACGACCTTTTTTTCGAGCGACATGATGGTGCAAGCATCTTTGGCTTTCTGGCGAAGTCAGTTCGCTTGGTCGCCACCTAGCATCTATCCATTCCAATGCCGCTGGGCAGTCATCTTCAGAGGAGGTACGTCGCCCTCAGACCTTTGGTCGCTCTGCCAGTCTCCCTCCAGTAATTGAAGCTGGCAGCGGTATAAGAGAGTCCCCTTAGTCCTCAGGGAAAGTTTATTTTCTAAGTTATTAGGTCTTCTCTGAAGCTGCTCTCATTCTTGCCCGCATCCAGGCGCTGCACCCTGGCACCTTTACTGCTTTCAACATTCCGAGCTCAATGGTGCAAACAACGTTGTTGGAGTCACTTGCCAGTTTCATTCACGACCTTGCAGCGAAGAAGTTTATGATAACTCCCAGCAAGTTTGTAAAGAGTGTTGCGGCCAATCTGAGCGGCTTTGAGAGGAATGGTTTGGACCTATCAAGGATAGGGGATAGGCTTCAGGCAGTCGATGGCTTCCTTGAGCATGCAGACAACGTGATGATGATTGCATCTTTGGAGGAGATTATCAAGGAGTGTAAGGGTGCCTTGGAGCAGCACCGACAGAACCTGACTTAGTTCAAGGAAAAGGACTCCATGCTCGTTGCTCAGTTGCCTCGGGATGTGACCCTAATAGACTCCCTCATAAAGGGTTTGATTTGAGATATTATGGCTTTGTTGTGGCTATTTTTCTTTGTACTATTGCTATCTCTTTTTTTTTTTTCCCCCTTTGAACATTGTAACATGATATGAAAAACTTTGATATTTATGAGAAGCAAAGATGTTAAGCCTTACTTTACTACCTTTCTTTCATTGTCTTTTACATTACTTCTAAAGACAAGCAAAACTTGTGCCATGAACAAAACTTCGTCATGACTATGTTTTTCACATGGACAAAATTTCAGTAAGTATGGAAAACTTTCTTCACACTAAGTGTTTACAAGAGTAACAGGTTTACTAAGTATATGACATTTTATTACACTTTGTTTTGGAAGTATTAACAAAGAAACTTACAACTCTTTTTCTGAACAAAAAGAAATTAAGGAAAACACTCCTTTACATACTTAGCGTTGATAGGGCCCGTTCTGAACCCATCATCTACTCTTGTCAACTTGTAATACCCGCTACTGCTTGCTTCAGTAACTTTGTAGGGGCTTTCCCATCTTGGTGAGAACTTGGGGATTGGTTGTCTCTGCATGATTGCGTCCACTGTTTTCCATACCAAGTCCCCCTTATTGAACTCCTTGTGTTGAATAGGTTGATTGTAGGTGTGAGCTATGGACTGATGATACTTTTCCATTGCCCGCAAGACCCTATTTCTTTTTTCTTCGGCTGCCTTTATGTCATTCTTCCTACTATCTGAAACTAAGTGTGTTGACATAGCTATTCTTGCTGAGGGTACTGCCAACTCAACTGGTAACATAGCTTCGGACCTATACACTAGGGAAAATGGGATTGCCTGAGTTGGCTTTTTTTTTGACGTTCTATATGTCCAGAGTGCTACAGAGAGTTCGGACCACGTGCCTCCTACTTCATCTATCATTTTACTTAGTATTCGGATGAGGGTTTTATTGGTTGCCTCAGCTTGTCCGTTTTCTTGAGGATAATATGGAGTAGACTTGTGGTGCTTGATCTGGTAGGTGTCCAGTAATATTCCCACATGGCAGTTTACAAAGGGGGTCCCATTATCAGACAACATCACCTTGGGTATGCCAAACCTACAGATTATGTTTTCCTTGATGAAGTTGGTCACTCCTGCCCCATCTGCTTTCCTCATCGGTATAGCCTCTACCCACTTGGCACTAACTTCAATCGTTGTAAGTATCCATCTATGGCCTTTGGATTGCTGCGTTATAGGACTTACTAGGTTAAATGCCCAAGTATGAAACGGGGTAAGGAGTCTTGATGTTGTGCAGTTCAATCGCCAGTGTATGTATCAAGTTCCCAGACTTTTGGCAGGATTGACATCTCTTTACAAAGTTTTTAGCATCCTCTTCCATTGCTAGCTAGTAATAGCCGAGGTGAATAAGATGCCCATATAATTGTTGTGCTCCTTGATGCTCTGCGTTGTGGGCTTCCCTCAATATTTTGTTTGCTTTATCTTTTGATAAACACGCCAAAGGTTCCCCTTCAAAGCTCTTGCGGTACAGTTTGCCTTGGTCAAGGAAGAAGCGGAGGGTTTGCCTCTTAACTCTGATTACATCGGCTTTATTCTCAGGTAGTGTGCCGTTTCCAAGATAGTCAATATATGGCTGTCTCCATTCTTCACCGCTTAAGAAATGAGCTTCCTTATCTTTAGGATGGGACTGACATTTTGTACATTGCCTCTGCAACTCAGTACTTTCCTTTTCTATCTCTGGCCAGTAGTACCCTTACTTCTACATTCGTCGATATAGATTGATATCTCCATTTCCCCAGGACTTAGCATGGATCTGCTTAAGTCTATAAGTTGTTTCTTGTCTACCGATGCACCTTGCTAGCAGGTTGTTGGGACCGTAAATAATGTCTGTTTTCCACCCCTCAGCATCTTGTTCTGTATGTCCTTTGGCTAACACTGCTGGTGTTATTTTTTTCTCAATGACAATGGCTATACTATCGTTTGGTATATCCACCTTTGCCCCCTGTGTAACCAAGGCATCGGGGAAACGGTTGTGTGTTCGAAGGGTGTGCTAGATTTGGACATCGTCAAATTGAGTAAGCAATTTTTGAACTATGGTGCGATACGGGGCCAACAGGGGCTCCTTCAAAACGAAATCACCCATTGTTTGCTTGACAACTAACTTGGAGTCACCTCAAATTTTTAACTTGCAGAGGCCTTTCTTTTGAGCAGCAATCAGACCCAGTATCGACGGCTCATATTTAGTCTTGTTGTTTGAACATTCAAAGTCAAGCTTATATAACAAATGGAACTTCTCCCTCTCTTAACTAGTAAGTGTTATGCCAGCTCCACCTTTCCCAACTCCAGAGGCTCCATTAAATTTTAAATCCCAATAAGTCTCAACCGCTGCTCCTAAGACATGGACCTCACTAGGTAGGGGTACCTCTGCAGGTTCATGTCATCTAGATAGGAATTGTGTTTGCAAGTGCTTGGCTCTGGATAGCCTTAAGAGTAACACATGTGATATTATATTCCGCTAGAGCCAAAAGCCATCTTGTCATTCTTCTGGTCAGAGCGGGCTTGCTCAGTAAGTAACGAATTGGATCACTTATGGTCATAACTTGGATCGGGTGTGCCAAAAAATAATGGCGCAACTTCTGCGTGGTGAAGATTAAGGCTAAGCAATGCCTTTCAATTGGGGTATACCGTGATTCGGCACCATTGACTTTGCGGCTGATACAATAGACTGGCTTCTCAATCCCGTCTATGTCTTGGACAAGTAGAGCTCTAATAGACCGAGGTGTGGAGGTAAGAAATAGTAGCAGAGGCTTTTTAGGTTGTGGGGCAATTATTGTAAATGGAGAAGTAAGTGCTTACTTCACCATATCGAATGCCTGTTGGTGTTCTTGCAACCATTCAAACTTGTAATTCCTTTTCAGCAATGTCCCAAAAGAAAAGGTTATCTCAGCAAGGGCTGGGATGAACCTTCTAAGGTATGACACTTTGCCTAGGAATTTCTTTAAGGCTTTTTGAGAGGGTGGCGGTGGTATCTCCATGATTGACTTGATCTTATCCCCATCTTCCAGAAAGCCAAGGAACTTGCCTGCGGTAACTTCGAAGGCACACTTGAGACGATTCATTTTTAAGCAAAATTTTCGACAACGCTAAAAAACTTTTTCCAAGTCGCAGAGGTGCTGGACACGTGGCCTAAGGCACGAGTCAGGGTTTCCTAAATTTCTCAAAAATAAAATATTTAGGTGGTGACTCTATATCTAGCAAAGCAGTCCATGTTTGGCACTTCTTTATAAAAATCAATTTTGCAAAACGATTTGCTAGATTTGGACTCTTTGGTGATTCATTGGTCGCGCATTGCACTTTGTGAGATTAGATTCAGAACTGTGACAGGAGTCCGAACTGTAGTAGCTAAAGAACAAACGATTCACGCCCTCGCGTACGGAGCCAGGAGTTCTCGGGCGGTCTACAGCGCACCCTTTTGGAGAGGTGCGAATTGGTCCTATAGTTCGGACTCCTATCACGGTTCTGAATCTAATCCCACAAAGTGCAATGTGAGACTAATAAACACCAAAGAGTCTAATCCGACAAGTCATTTTGGAAAATCAGATTTTAAATCAAATATTGCCAAAACTGGACTGCTTTGCCAGACTACAGAGTCGCCACCTAAATATTTTGTTTTGGGAAATTTAGGAAACCCTAACTCGTGCCAAAGGCCATGTGTCCGTCATCATCAAAGTTGCCTCGGCTCGGGAACTTGGGTACGAGAGGGGAAGGTCCTGAAATGAGCACCCCCGCTCCCCCGATCAAAGGATTGGCCTCTACTAAACATGATATGTTGTTTTATAAACACATGTGTTCTTATTCCGATTATCAGCTAACTTACTATGTGATGTGCACATCATACAAGTATAGACTAAATCGCAAGAATTGGAACAAAACAACTCATGTTTGTTTTCGAAAATAGTTTGAAAATGCCACCCTCAAGTGGGCTTAAAACATGATGATTTGCCACTTCGCAAAGTGGGCATAAAACTCATATTTGATGAATTGTCCCAATTCAAGTAATAAAGCTTTCATCCACAGGCATTCATGCAGTTAAGCATTTAAGCAAATAGCCTCATGGCAAGCATGCAAAACATGGCAACATTCACACTCATGCAAGCATGCTAAAGCGTAAAACTCACAGTGTACTCCGAGTCAAAACAAAAGCTAGTTAGAAATATGTATGATCCTAACTATGTTAACAATGCCTGATGCAACACATGCAATAATGCAACTAAATAGGCTCAACTATCTAAGATGGCATATGAATGCAACAATTTGATAACATGCTTTGAAATGCGTATTTAAATAAGTATTGAAATATGATGCAGTTTGAATGATGCTGTAGACACCCCATTTTTGACCGTCCTCAAGACTTGGACGTCACCGTCTGAACACCCGGTGATCATCCATGTTTGTGTTCGTTTGGAGTTCCCGGAGGTCTTGGCTACGTGCCTTGCCTCAGGATCTTCGAACTCGACTGTTTAGTGTCTGGTTTCACACCAAACACTTGTGTTTTGCCTTGGAGGGGCAGGGAATGCCTTGTGAGGCATCCCCACACATCACCGGCCATAGCCACAGGCCACCGGCTGGTGTTTTGTTGCCGTCGGCAATCTATATTGCCGGTCGGCACAATTTGTTGCCGGTTGGCACTCCTTTTTGTCAAAATGGCAATTTTGAGTAGCCGACTACTGTTCATCTACTTTATGTAGATATTTTGTGCCAGCTGTGATAGCTGGCACCAACTCTGCTTCCCTCCATACACGTGTATGGAGGGAAGCAGAGTTGGTGCCAGCTATCACAGCTGGCACAAAATATCTACATAAAGTAGATGAACAGTGGTCGGCTACTCAAAATTGCCATTTTGACAAAAAGGAGTGCCAACCGGCAACAAATAGTGCCGACCGGCAATATAGATTGCCGACGGCAACAAAACACCAGCCGGTGGCCTGTGGCTATGGCCGGTGATGTGTGGGGATGCCTCACAAGGCATTCCCTGCCCCTCCAAGGCAAAACACAAGTGTTTGGTGACTAGTCATTCCACCAAATTAAGTTC